ACTTGGAACAGCAACTCGTCCACCGTCGCCCACACCGTCCGCCCAGCGCGCCGCCCGTCATGGACCGCCTCGAGTCTCTCGGAAACACCCTCTCCAACATCACCCTCTATGACATCAAGTCTATGTACAACCAGGTGCGTGCCGTGCACGTCACCAGCGAATGGGCTGGGCTGAGGGCGCCCGCTCTTCGTGTGTATCCAGGCGAAGAATGTTGTACTCAATGTCAGCGAGATGGAGGCGAAGGTCCGGGAGGCGACAAATGACGACCCCTGGTGCGTGTATTCGCGAGCTTGGATGACGGGCGCGCGCGCTGATGGGTGACGTAGGGGCGCGAGCTCGACGCTGATGCAGGAGATCGCGCAAGGGTACGTGTGCTACTTTATATCACCAACTATCTGGACTGACAGGATCTGAAACTGGCAGGACGTTCAATTTGTGAGTGCATATCCGAACTGGTATCCTTGGGAAGTGCTCAGTGGCGTATCCTGGTAGCCAACAATTCAACGAAATCATGCCCTGCATATATTCACAATTCATGGAAAAGGAAGCCCGTCAATGGCGCCAGATCTACAAGGTACGTCATGTTTGTAGGTTTGACAGGTTATTCGCTGACGATAAGCCATTGTAGGCACTGCAACTGCTTGAATACCTCATCAAACACGGTTCAGAGCGCGTGGTCGATGATGCGCGCTCGCACGTCTCTACTCTCAAGATGCTGCGCAGCTTCCACTATATCGATGACAAGGGCAAGGATCAGGGCATCAATGGTGCGTGACCTCCCCAATTGCAAGGCACCTGAGATTGACACCCAAACCATAGTACGGAACCGCGCGAAAGAACTTGTCGAGCTTCTTGCAGACGTCGAGAAGATTCGCCAAGAGCGCAAAAAGGCCAAGGCAAATCGCAGCAAGTACGTCGGTACTGGGAACGACAGCCTTTCTTTCGCCTCTGGCGGCAGCCGCTACGGCGGCTTTGGGAGCGAGAGCGTTGGCGGCGGTTACGGCGGCGGCGGAGGCTACAGTGGCGATTACGGAGGCAGCGCGAGCGGGTATGACCGAGGTCTGTTTGCGCTTCACTCGAGCGAATCATACCGTCTGACTGTCGTGCAGACTATTCGGGTGGAAGCAGCAGCGGCTTCCGAGATGCTGCACCGCGGAGGGGCGAGTTTGAGGAGTACGACGCCGGCGACTACGAGACATCGCCACGCCGCGGGAACTCTACCGCAACCAGCCCAACTGGCCATGCCGCGCCGGCCCGCTCCACGCCGGCGGTGCAGACCAAGGCTGCTGCCAAAGCACCAGAGCCTGCCCCAGCGCCGGTGATGAACCTACTCGACTTTGACGATGAACCTGCACCAGTGGCCAGCACGAGCGTGCCAGCGACCAACAAGGCCCTGCCCGCACTCGCACCACTCGCAGGCACCGATAACGGTGCGTCGCTATTTTTTGCCCGGGCTCTTATCGCCGCATGCTCGTGCTCATGTGCTCCCCGTGCGCTTGACAGCCGGCGCAGATGACGATTTTGCGGACTTCCAGGCCGCGCCGTCTTCGCCCCCTGCGGTACCCCCAGCAGCATCCGCTACCTCCGCCAAGCCCAACCTGATGGACCTCCTTGCGTCTGCTCCCGCTGCCGTGCAGAGCCGGCCCGCACAGCCCGCGCAGTCATTCGGTGCATTCAACAGCGTGCTGTCCCCGACATCGCAGGCACGCCCGAGCTCCACCCCCGTCATGACCCCCGGCGTTGCGGCACGATCTGCGGCCACCTCTCCTCCCACGGCCGCGCCGAAGACTGGCGGCGGATTCGATGACCTGTGGTCGATGTCTCTCGGTTCTTCGACAACCAAGTCAGCTGCCCCGGCCAGTGGGACCAAGAGCATACGCGATCTCGAGCGTGAGAAGGCACAGGCGGGGATCTGGGGCGCTCAAAAGCCCGCACAGGGTCGGGCGCAGGCTGGTGCGTTCGGCGCATTCGGCGCGGTGCAGCCCGGCGGCGGCGCCAGTGCCAGCGCGAGCGGGGGCGCGGATGATTTGCTGCTGTGAGCCTGGCAGACGGAGGTGACGGGTTGCTCGGCGGGTTGGCTCTTGGATAGGCTTGCGTGTTCCCTGATTCGTAGCTGCGTCGCACCCGATACGGCGATAGTGTTCTCCATTCTGCGCAATCGAGAGTTGAGAGAACCGCGGGCCCAGGGGGATAGATTACTCATATGTAGTCCGTGTACGTGATCAAATGGGCGATGCATGATGGAGGTAGAACACATGGCCCGCGAGATGTGCTTCTCTGCATGCTTTGATCCCCTGCCAGCAGCGCACTCGCGGGCGAGACCACGCGTGTTCTCTCATATCGTCTATCATGCGACGTGCAGAGAAGCAGCGTCAGAAGCAGCGTCGTTATGAAATACGCGAACCACTCGCCCGCCCGCCGTGCGCCTCCCTTAAAAGCGTTCTTCAACATGCTCGGAATCAAACACACCAGCCCGCGCCCCGCTAATCCCAACTAACGCAAAGGCACAATGGTGCTTCTGCCCTTCTCCACCTTCTCGTCGTCCCTTGCCCTTCTCAGCACCCTCCTGCTCCTCCCGGCCCCGGGGGCACACGCGCTCTGGCCCCAGCCCCGCAGCCTGCAGACAGGCTCCTCCGCCCTGCGCCTCTCGCCCACGTTCAGCATCAGCCTCGCAGGCGTCCCCGGCGCGCCCGCCGACCTGCACGCCGCCGCACAGCGCGCGCGCACACAGCTCTTCGCAGACAAGCTCGGGCGGCTCGTGCTCGGCCGCGGCACGGGCGACGCGGCCGCGCTCGCGCACGCGCGCTCGCTGTCCGCGCTGCAGCTGCAGCTCGAGCGCGGCGCGCCAAAGGCGCGCAGCGTCGCGGCCGAGGCGGTGCGGCCGCTCGGGCAGCGCGACGAGGCGTACGCGCTCAGCGTGCCTGCGGACGGCGGCGCGGCGGTGCTGCGTGCCAACTCGACGCTTGGGCTGTTTCGCGGGCTGAACACGTTCGCGCAGCTGTGGTATACGAGTGGCGCCGCGGTGTATACGCTCGGTGCGCCCGTGCAGATCGAGGACGCGCCGGCTTATGTGCGTGTGGCGGCTCTGTGCTTGTTTTGTGTGTGTTGACTCGGGCACGTTGCAGCCGTACCGCGGGTTCTTGCTCGATACGGCGCGCAACTAGTGAGTGCGGCGGGGGTGTTTGGGCTGGGGTGGGTGCTGACGGCGTCAGTTTCCCGGTGTCGGACATTGAGCGTACGCTCGATGCCATGTCGTGGGTCCACGTGAGCATCCTCCCGCGCCTCTCGGTTCGCACCCACTTACTCCGCCCAGATCAACACGTTCCACTGGCACGTCGTCGACAGCCAGAGCTTCCCGCTCGAGGTTCCCGGATACACAGAGCTTGCATCCAAGGGTGCTTACGGCCCCGATCAGGTGTACACGACGAAGGATGTCGCGAACGTCGTTGCGTACGCCGGTGCTGTGCGTCCCTAACTTCTCTTGTCATCCCCTCCGTCTAACAACCATCCGTCCCGCAGCGTGGTATCGATGTCCTAGTTGTGCGTCTCCCCGCTTCCTCGTACGACGCGCGAGGATCTGAACCGCACACAGGAAGTCGACACGCCCGGACATACCTCGGTGATCTCCAAGTCGCACCCCGAGCACATCGCGTGCCCCGAGGCGACGCCCTGGGCGACGTACGCGAACGAGCCACCCGCGGGCCAGCTGCGCATCGCGTCGCCCGCAACGACGAACTTCACCGCGGGACTGCTGACCGCCGTCGCGCACATGTTCCCGTCGTCGCTGTTCAGCACGGGCGGCGACGAGATCAACGCGCAGTGCTACGCGGACGACGCGCAGACGCAGCAGGAGCTCGGCGGGCGCGCGATCAACGACGCGCTCGATGTGTTCACGCAGGCCTCGCACAACGCGCTGCGGGCGATCGGGAAGACGCCGGTCGTGTGGGAGGGTGCGTGTGTGCTTGGGCTGGTGTGTGCGGGGCTGTGCTGAGATCTGTGCAGAGATGCTGCTCAACTTTAACCTCACGCTCTCGAACGACACGATTGCTATGTGAGTCCGCGCGTGAGCCCTGCACGCACTGGCTAATGCGCACTCACAGGGTGTGGATCTCGTCCGACGACGCAGCCGCCGTCGCAGCCAAGGGCTTCCGCTTCGTCCACGCCGCCTCCAACTCGTTCTACCTCGTGCGCCGCCCTGCTCCCCACCCCCACCTCCGCCGGAGCTCACACACCCCCTAGGACTGCGGCGCCGGCGGCTGGGTCGGCGCGAACCCGGGCGGCAACAGCTGGTGCGAGCCGTTCAAGACATGGCAGAACGCATACACGTTCGACCCGCTCGCGAACCTGACCACCGCGCAGGCGCCGCTCGTGCTCGGCGGGCAGCAGCTGCTCTGGACCGAGCAGAGCGGCCCGCAGAACCTCGACTCGATCACGTGGCCGCGCGCCGCGGCGACCGCCGAGGTGTTCTGGAGCGGGCCTGGGGGGAACGTGAGCGCTGCGCTGCCGCGGCTGCATGAGCTCGGGTACCGCTTGCGCCAGCGCGGCGTGCAGGCGATCTCGCTGCAGCCCGAGTGGTGCGCGCTCAGGCCATTCGCGTGCGATTTGACCGCGTGAGCGGGCTGCGTTCCGGGGGTGTTCTCGTTGGACTAGTTGGTTGGTGGACGGTTGAAAAGCCGCTGCTTGTGCGGACCTGTTTTCGGGCTGCTGTGCTGTTCAGTGGTTCTGCGTATTTGTTGGCCGGGAATGAACTTGTTCTGCACTGTGCACGGCGTGCAGGATATGTACTTGGATGCAGCGGTCTACCCGGCACTGGGAACGTGGGAACGAGCACGAGCCAGACCTACGGTTTGGAATGGAAGCAACAGGTGACAGCAGAATGACAGCTTCTGCCAGATCAATCCAACAATTCTCCGCCCACTCCTCCTGCCCGCGCTCCTGCCCGTCCTCCCGCTCCCTTCCTCCCCCCCGTTGTGTAGCGTATCTCTCACTGTCATATCAAGGCATTAATGGGGTAGTGGTAACCTGGGTCGTTGCCAGAGTTACGTAATCCTTCCCGATTAGGAAAGCGGCTTGCTCGATTCGACCCGCCCTGGGTTCGATTCCCAGTTAATGCACACCTTTTTGGTCCTTCCACCCTTGCTTCTACCTACCACGCTGACTCTTTTGCGCGACCGGACGAGGTCAGCAACGCGGACCCCTGGACAACAAGAGAAGACACGCTAATCCTCCATCATGTCATAAATCGCAGAGGGTTCGCTGCTCGGCAAGCCACACGGTGCCAGTGGCATCAACTCATGTCATGAATCGGACACTGCCTCGGCCCCACAATCAAGTGAGCGCCTCTCACTATATATTTGGAAGCCTTGGGCGTGGTCCCACGCTGCAATTGCTGGGAGATGCCTGTGATCCTCGTCGTCACGTCACCTCCTTTGTCGATCCATACCTTTCGTTCTTGGGTTCAAGTGGAATCACGCAACAAATATCACCGCAGTGGCGCGCGACGCAGGGTCGTATACCATAGGACATGGACCAACGGCCTGTATCGATCTCGTAGGCGGTATATCGACTGGAATGTTCTGTTGCTAATCAACGACATCGTGGCGTCTGCCAGGTCAACACAACATACGTCTCAGGATGGGATTTCACCGTACGTTAGCTGTCTGCTCTCGTCCTCCGTGATTGAAGTGGCCAACAATTGAGCAGTCTCGGGCTCTCCGAGGCGCTCGTAAACTCGCCTGGGTCATACACCGAGACCAAGCTCAAGTTGACAGGTGAGCCCAAGCCGAACGACAGCGCTTTGAATGAGGCCCACATCTCTCTCCCTCAGTGGCTCGAGCAGACGGTCTCGCTCGCCTGCGACTTGGAAATGCGCTACAAGAAATTATCGGAAAGAGTCGACGCTTCTATGTAACCGCAAGCGACGGAGCGATAACCAGGAGGACTGGCCCCGCCGAGGGCACAGAGCACTCGGTCGAGTGGAATGAGACCCTCGGAGATTTTTCAGCTCCTCAAAGTGTCATGTTGAGATTCCTGACTCACTTTGGATTCGTTACAGTACTATTGGCCAATTTTCGCGTCTGACCCTTCGTCTGTTCGCGAGACGGAGGTTCCACGATGATCTTTTTGTTGGATCGCTCGAGCTGCCGTTCACCGCCCTTCGTGTTTCCTTTACGCTTGGTGAGTTCTATGCATCAGGGATTCGCGCATATCCGCAGCTCAGTCCATCGCGCGCAGATTTCGGCGTAGTAGTCAATCCAGATATTCTTGGGCCCGACTCGTCAACACAGCAGGTTACCCTCCGCGTGGGTGTCGTGGTATCAGAGTTGTACTCTTCCGCGCCCATAGTAGCCGTCAGCGCTTCTGAGAACGTACCACCCCCCATCTCACCTGTGAACCGTGCTGATTCAACCTCCTCGTCGACGTTTGGCAACGGGCCGCCGGAGGCATCCTCGATCACCAAAGCTCTCCAGCGTGCCGACGGAGCCATGGAGCGCGCGAGAGGGGCTCCGAATCCACTAACCTCCGTTATGGTACAAGTTGATGGGTCTCCAGATCAACTGAGGCAGGCGGGTGACTTGTACAGCACATGGGAGAAGACCCTTTCCAAAATCCAATGGGTCGCTGACGTGACCGACAAGATTGCAGAGGTACTCATCCCCGTGTCTATGTATGCGTGCGATGGGGCTGAATTGGACCTGTCAGATTCACCCCTATGCGAAGATGGCATGGAGCATTCTTTCGTTCGTCCCAAAGGTGCGTCGAGCTCACGAGAGGACGTAGGGCCGGCCTCACTTTCGTATCACGTCCAGGCCTTCTTATCTCAAGTCAATCGCGACCGGAACGTTCAGGCGCTATTAGAAGCCATACACGACGCGTTTGATCTCCTGGCTGGCGCCGAGGGGATCTCAGTGGGCGTCAATCCGAAACAGACGGATATCCTGTTGGCCATGCTGCAACATGTCTGCGACTGCGGAGATTTTATCCAAACCTACGCCAAAAACACCCAATTCCGTACGTCACGACCAATAGATCATGAACTTCGCTGACGCTGCCTACTGTGGTCTACAGGAGAGCGCCTCTTGGCAAATATAGGCCGTGGGATCGACGGCCGAATTGAAGGTTACCGGAGCACCCTCATGGGACTTCAAGAGCGATTCTTGCATCACGCGTCTATTGTCACCGAGGTGACCGTGCTCCAAGTCAGAGATAGCGTGGAAGGAATCTCGGTCCAGGCCAATCAGCTCAGCCGCGAGCTTGAGGGCGTCTCTTGCCAACTTGAGGGCATTTTGAAAGACATCGCCGATTTTGGTGCGTCCCTTCCGTCAACGTCTTGAATGCGTGGCTCATGCCCCCGTAAAAGGCTTGGAAGCGAAGATCAACGAGATTCCCTATGGGACCGGCTCCCGATTTCGGCGAGACAAAGGCTGCCTCCCCGGAACGCGAAAGGCATTCCTAGAATTCATCACCAACTGGGCCAATGATCCTGATTCCCCGCGCACCCTCGTACTCTTCGGGGAAGCAGGGACTGGGAAATCCTCTATCGCTCACGAAGTCGCGCGGCACTTTGACGACATGGGTCGCCTCTGCTCCTCTTTCGTCTTTGTACGGAGGGAGCAATCAGAGCGGAACTCATACCTCCTATTCACGACGCTCATTCGCGACCTCGCCGACCATTATCCGTCGTTCAAGGCCACGTTAGGTCGGATCATCAAGAATAGCACGGCGCTTCGTTTGGGCGCTAAAGACTACAACACCCTCTTCGAGCACTTGTTGCAGCAACCGCTCAGGGACTTGCACCTTGCCGGGCCCGTGCTAATCGTCATCGATGCGCTGGATGAGAGCGAGGACGTAGTTGGTGACCAAGGTCTCCATGCGTTCCTGGCCAATCGCCTGTCCGAACTCCCTCCGAACTTCCGCATTCTGATCACCTCACGACCCGAGAGGCAAATCGAACCCATCTTCTCGCGAGCACTGTCAACCCAGATCATACACATAGATGACCCCAGCTTGGCTTCCCAGGCAGACGACGACATCCTCGCCTACTGCTTGAAAATGCTTCCCGATCGCGCCGCGGACGCTAGGAGGCTGGCGGCGAAGGCAGAGCGCTCGTTCCAATGGGCTTCTGTCGCCTGCGACTATGTCAGGAACCCTCCAAATGGGCTCACCGCGGACAACTGCGTCGACGACCTGCTACACCCCGCGAGCGAGGCGGAGCGCATGGAACCCTTGGACACCCTGTATCGCACCATCCTTCGCTCTTGCTTCAATCTCGACGATGATCGCACGCGCGCCCGCATACAACGCCGGTACCGATCGGTGATGGGCCAACTGTTTGCCGCCTTCGAGCCACTCTCAATCGAAACCCTTACATCCTTACGACGATACTCCCAAGACCGTGACAGAGAGGACTCTGTGGCGGTGATAGTCAGTGGCTTGGGGTCCTTATTAAGCAACGTCACGGCATCAAATCACTCCCTCCCTATCGCCCCACTCCACACCTCATTCCGCGACTTCCTTACTAACAAGGCCAAGAGCGGCGACTTCTATATCGACCTCAAGGAAGCGCACCGCCAGCTCGCGCGATGTTGTCTCGAAACCATGATTCGCGACCTCCGGTTCAATATCTGTCGTCTCGGAACGTCACATGAGGAAAACGCGAAGATCAGTGACCTCAAGTTCCGGATCTCCAAGTACATTCAGCACTCGCTATTGTATGGAGGTCGGTTTTGGGACTACCATTTGGATCTGATCGATGTCGACGTCGAACTGTTCAACAGAGTTCTAACGCTCTTCAAAACTGGTTGTCTGTTCTGGATAGAGTTCCTCAGCCTGACTGGCCGCATCGAATTAGCCGCACCCGCGTTGCTTACCGTCAAAAGGTGGCTATCTGGGGCGTCAAATAAGGTGAGCTGCCACTTCTTAGCCGTCGCGTGCTGTTCTGAGACCATCTCTTTGGTAGGCTGAGCTCCCCGAGCTGAGCGTCTTATCAGGCCTCCTGGACGATGCACTTGCGTTCGTACGCTATTTCGCCGCACCGATAGCACACAGTGCACCGCATATCTACCTGTCAGCTCTACCTTTTACGCCGACCACTTCCAAGATCTATTCCCACTACGTGACCAGTTTCCCCAATACGCTATCCGTGAAACGAGGACGCTTGAGTCACTGGCCGCCGACGGAGATGGTGATCTCGGCACACGAACGGCCGTGTTACTCTGTCGCATTCTCACCAGACGGGAAGCGGATTGCGTCAGGTTCGGCGGACAAGACGATTCGTGTCTGGGACGCCATCACCGGAAAACTGGTCGCGGGCCCATTCAAGGGGCATGCCGACGATGTGAATGCCGTCACATTCTCCCCGGATAGTCGACATCGTCTTGCCTCCGGATCAGATGACGGGACCGCCTGTATCTGGGACTCTAGAACAGGGGAAATGGTGGTCGAATCGCTTCGCAGGCATACGGGCGGAGTTCGCTCAGTCTCGTTCTCGCCCAACGGCCAGCTCGTCGCCTCGGGTTCAGGCGATCGCACAATTTGCATCTGGGACGCCACCACAGGAGAGCTCGTCAAAGGGCCGATCATGGGGCATACCGACGACGTCAACGTCGTCGCGTTCTCGCCAAACGGTCGCCATATTGCCTCCGGCTCAGATGACCACAGCATTCGTCTCTGGGACGTTGGCACAGGCGAATTGGTGATGCAGCTATCCCACACGATCGTCGATTGGGTTATCGATGTCGCATTCTCGCCGGATGGCGAATTCATTGCCTCAGGGTTGAGCGATCATACGGTTCGCGTCTGGAACTTGAGAACAAGGAGGGTCGTGGAAGGGCTAGCGTTTGACAGACATACGCGCTGGGTCACCTCTGTCGCGTTCTCACCGGACGGTCGCCAAATCTCCTCCGGCTCGCATGACGGTACGATCCGCATTTGGGACGCTACGGGAGGAACATCGATCGTAGGGGTGTTCGAAGGGCACACTAGCTATGTCAACTCAGTCGCGTTCTCGCCGGACGGACTGCACGTTGCCTCAGGTTCGGACGATTGCACAATTCGTGTTTGGGACTGCAGTAGGGCAAAGGAGAGCTCGACGACGGAGCTGCCCGATAGGCAT